GATCCAAACCCTTAATCACTATACAATTTTTTTTTCTCCCTAGTGTTTTCCTGCAAACACAGGGTCTGCTTTTTTTATTTAACTGAGTTGATCCATTGGTTTCAACTGAAATTGACGAACCAATTTGTTACTTGAGCCTGATGTCATTGCAGACTGAAAGAGAGTGACTGGCCCAAATTCATCCAGCTAAGATGGAAGTAGAACTCACCGTCTCCTGCTTTCTTAACCATTAGACTATACTATACTGTTTTTTTTTTTAAGTAGTATCACTTGGTCTTTGGGGCATAATATATGCCACCCTCACATCTTCTCAGCCATAAAGGTTCCCTTCAAGAAGGGCTGCCAGAGGTTTTGCAAGTTGTCAGTGGAATCATTTCCAATGCCACAGCGCCCCCCCCCCCCTCCCACTCCTCCATCCAGTGGCCCAGGAACCATACTGAAGTACGCAGGGAATAACAGCAGCACTGATGAGCGTGCAAAGAGAAATGAAATGTCAGAAAGCAGCTGGGATGAGAGCAGGGAAAGGAGGCTCTTCTCATTCCTGAAACCTCCCAGGGAATCCTCGCTTTCAGAAACACACTGTGTGGGGAGGTGTTCCTCTCACAGCATTAATACCAAGAAATGAAAGCCAGAATTCTTGGGGGCTGACCAGTGGAGGAAAAGCTGCAAACAGCTAGGACTGTATTCCATTCATGATTGGAGGAGTAGAGAGTGTTGAAGGAGGTTCGTTAAATAGACAAAAGCTTCAGAAAGGAAGGGGTCTTAACTAGTAACACCTGAAAATGGTCCTCGATGATTTGTTGGATTGCCTACACACCACTTCCTTATAAAAGGCTTTAAAAGTGCTTGCTTGACATAGCCTGAACTATGAATGAGCCCATGACATGCAACTTTAGTCAACGAAGCAAACCCATTCATCAGGTAGTGAACCCTGCGCAAAGACGTATTTTTTTAAATCTTGGGGAGATGAGGAGAAAGCTTTCATCTTGGTCTCTTCCTGAAGCATTGCGGAGAAGATCCTGGAAGACACTAATAATATATCCTGTGAAGTTGATTGGAGCACTTAATCTTTGCGGAACATGTCAGTTCCAATACAGAAAGCATAAGGTCAAAGCTACTAGCGGGGAGTGAGGTGACATGTACCTGTTATAAATAACAAAATAAAAACATTAGCACACGGAATTTAATTGGGAAATCTGTTGGCAACCTGTGCGAAATGATTAGAATAGGCATCATAACCTTATATCTGGCCATCAGAAAACTCATGCAATTTCTAAGTCTCTTGAAACAACATTCCCTCGCAGAACATATTACAATAATCTAATCAGGTTTATATTGCATAAGATATTGCATAGTGACTAGGGGAAAGTATTGATGCTAAATCAATTATAGTTGTTAAGAAATCCTTACCACATTATTGATTTGAGCATGCAAAGGCACTCCTAGATTACAAACTGTAGAACTACTCTACTCCTCCAAGGGGGGAAAAAAACGCCCTTTTTTAAAAAAAGGTTAGAATCCCATACTTCCATGAAAGTAGCCTGGAGGAAAGAAGTGGAGCTTGCAGGACTCTGCAGTTCAAAAGCTGCAGTGAGGGACAGTAATTGTACAATCTGGTGCTGCAGGGCTATCCTTAAGAATTTCCTCTCTATTTTAAGGTCTTTTAAATACTTCAGGGAAGAGCTGTCTAAGAGGTCCTGACATTAGTTTCACTTTGGGCTGCCCCAGTGGGATGGGCATGGCAAACAAAGCAGACATGGCTTCACACACGATGAAATTATCAGAAAAGCATAGACCAGTGTTTCTCAGGATTTCAACTCCCAGAATTTTCCAGCCAGCATGTTATCCGCAATAAACTAGAACTAAGGAGAAATTTCCTGACAGTTAGAACAATTGATCAGTAAGAAAACTTGCATCAAGAAGTTGTGAATGCTCCAACCCTGGAAGTTTTTAAAAGGAGATTGGACAACCATTTGTCTGAAATGATATAGCGCTTTCTGCCTGAGTAGTGGGTGGGACCTCCAAGGTCCCCTCCAATGCTGTTATTTTATTATTCTATATTACATTGTGCCATACCTCTATACCAGGGTGGACTGCTACAGGTTCGCCTGGGTTCGGGAGGACCCGTTGCTAATGTTATAGCTGGTTTGCGAACCACCAAATCCCACCCCCGGCTGGCCCTGACCACCCCGCCCCTCCCTGGAGTCTCCCTGTGGCCGTTTTGGATGCGAGATAAGTTCAGGGGGCGTGTGGAGGTTCTGCGAGGGGAAAAGCGGGCCTCCCAGAAGTTCCGGAAGTCCAGAAACAGGCCTGTTTCTGGCCTCCAGAGCCCGAGGAGGCTGTCTTTGCCACCCCAGGGGCCCAAGGAAAGCCTCCAGAGCCAGGGGAAGGTGAAAATGCCCCAACCCCCACTGTGGTGGTGCAGGAGGCCAACTAAGCCATGCCCACCATGGCCACGCCCACCCAGCAACGGGTAGCAAACCCATTGCTTCAATTTTTGAAGCCCACCCAAGATTATGTGTGTGTATGTGTGTGTGTGTGTGTGTGTGTTTTACATGACTTTGAAATAACATATAGTTCATTTTTGTCATAATGATATCCAGATATTTTCAATCGTAGGACACATTTCATTACTGAATTATGTTTAATTTCCTATTTTCCTATTTTTACTAATATCTTTTTCTGATTATCAATTTTGAAATCTACTAATGTGCCAAAATCTTTCAATTTGTCCATGAATATTTCCATTTCCAATGATCTTACAGAGCCAACTCTAAATCGCCTGCAAAAGCTCTTAATTTTTAAATTTTAAAAATTCTTTACACCCATAATCATATCATCTTGTTCTTATATCCCTATTCAATATTTCAAATCCAAAATAAATAATGAAGAGACAACAGGTGCTTCATCTTGTTCCTTTTTATATCTTCTTAGATCTCCCTTAACATGTAGTGTAAATTGATCTTACTCACTTCATAAAATTCTCTCCATAGTTCATATTTTCCAAAATTTTGAACAACAAAATCCAGGTCAAATGGAGTTTATCTTTGTTCTGCTTATTATTCTCTGGATGATATAAAGCAGACAGAGTAACTCCACAAAACATCCATAACAAAATATTTTTTATTGGTTCATCGGATATCCTCATAACTCACATTTGTGACAAAGTTCTTCTTAATGTCCAATCCTTTGCATATCTGTCTTGTAGTGTAGAAAGATAAAAAGGTCTCAACCCCATGATTGAAGCAGCTGCATGGTATGGTGGTTTCAGACAAGAGTGAGGGAGCCTCCCCCAACCCAACAAGGGTCAATATAGTGACCAATTGGGATTACAGATGTGGTGACGTGACATGGACTACATTTCCCAAGATACCTTTAACTACATTTACCATGATGCATTCCCTTAAGGGAACAGCTCACAATTCCTAAGTAACTATCCCAAATCCCATTAATTCTAAACTGTCCGGACAGCAGAATCTTTGTTTGAGAAAATCAATGTGACTTGTTTGTCATTATTACTTAACCGATAACAGATAGAGTTGGAAGGGACCTTGTAGGTCATCTAGTCCAACCCCCCCACCCAAGCAGGAGACCCTACACCATTTCCGACAGATGGTAGTCCAATCTCTTCTTGAAAGTCTCAAGTGATGGCACTCCCACAACTTCTGAGGGCAAAGTGTTCCATTGGTTGATTGTTCTCACTGTCAGAAAGTTTCTCCTTATTTCCAAGTTAAATCTCTCCTTCAGTTTCCATCCATTATTCCTTGTCTGGCCTACAGGCACTTTAAAAAATAGCTTGACTTCTTCCTCTCTATGGCAGCCCCTCAAATATTGGAAGACTGCTATCATGTCTCCCCTGGTCCTTCTCTTCACTTGACTAGCCATGACCAGTTCCTGTAACCGTTCTTCATATGTTTTAGTCTCCAGTCCCCTAATCATCCTGGTTGCTCTTCTCTGTACTTTTTCTAAAGTCTCAACATCTTTTTTATAGTGTGGTGACCAAAACTGGATGCAGTACTCTAGGTCTTACTAAGGCTTTGTAGAGTGGTATTAGTACCTTCCTTGATCTTGATTGTATCCCTCTGTTAATACAATTTAGGATTGCATTAGCTTTTTTGGCTGCTGCTGCACACTGCTGGCTCATATTTAGCTGGTTGTCCACTAAAACTTAGTTGTCCCTCTCACAGTTACTGCTACTGATATAGACTGCTATCCAGTCTATATGTGTACTTTTGGTTTTTCTTGCCTAAGTGTAGGACTTTACTTTTCTCTACGTTGAATTTCATTTTTAATACTTAAAATATTCCAAAATAGCCAACACATTTCTAACTATCTTTTAAATAAAATCCTACACTGATTCTCATGAATACATTCTTGTAAAATTATTTTCAATCTATCAGTTAGAATTGTTATAGATCTGTTCATAATCTGCCTGTTCCTCTGTAAATTTCAGTAATTTTGTTTCTTTAGATACCAATAGTCGTCTATTTTCTCTACAGGAATGTCACCTCCTTTATAAGAACTTGGAACAATATTCATAAAATGCTTTTTGCATAGCCACGTTGTCCATTTATATAGTTTGTCCCTCTTATAATTTCAGTATTATTTTCTTTATGTAATTTATATGCTGGTTTCTATTTCTCTGATAGCATCTCAGTCTGCCTTAACAGAACAGAGATGCCAGACCGGACCAAACTCTCTTCCCCAATATAGTCCGGGATGGTAGAAAACTGAGTTTTACTTGTTATGTAAATTGGAATAATATTTGAGTTGTGATTTCAAAATCCTTCTGCATCAACAAAAACTAGCAGGGACAGGAACAAAGTAGTCCAGCGGGGCTGTAAAGGAAATTACCTAGCCAGAAGCCACCCGATTTCACTCTCTGCAATTCGTCTAGAAAATTCGTTCAGAAAGCTGAACACGCTCGAAGAGAGCGACTTCCACGTGCTCGCTTGCAAACTACATTTCCCAACATGCTTCGCCGTCTACTGATGATGATGCACTAGAAAGGAGGTACTGCGAAAGCTCGTTCTCTGTTGTCAGAGCTTTAAAAAGCGGGGATTGAGCTGCGGGGGTCTCTCTTTCTCTCGGAAGGACACCCCCCCCTTTCAGTAGACTTGCATCAGAGGGAAGCGAGAAGGCCTGCCTGCTGTGTGCATTGGAAAGTAAGGGAAGGGAAGGGTAGGGAAGGGAGCTGAGAACTGGGCTCGCCTGCTCCCAGCGAAAAGTAGGCAAAGGCACAGCGCGGGGAGGTGGGTTTGAGTGTTTGATAGTAAAGAAAATTAGGAATGGGGAGGCGGACAAGAAAGCCAAATTTAAAATTTGTGTCTCGGGAGTAGACAGGTAGACACAAGGGTGAAGGGAGTGTGCAAAGCAAATGGGACAAAAACCTTCCTATTTCTACTGGGCGGGAGTTGCATAGATTAAGAACAACTATATGAGGTTTATTTTTTTCGAGTAAGGGGCGTGGGTGAACGCTTGAAGTAACGTGTAATGCTCCAATTACTGGGGAAAAATGATACCTTGTTCAGAAAACCTGGTGAATAGATAAGAAAGGAGGACAGTAGAATTTGAGAAGTTAGCAATAAAAGTGCCTGCCGCTTTTCAAAGGCTCGGTTACAGGAGTAAAGTTGGCAATAAAGCCAGTGTGAAACAATATACGAGGTACCTACATACATGCACACTGTTTCTGTGTCAGAGCACAAACCTAAACTTAATTCCTGAGAATTATGAGTCATTTTGCTTAAAATTCCAGTATTATATTTTGGTCCTGAGTTTTAGTCTGTGCATGCCTTGAGAAGGGTCAAATAATGGACTAATGAAGATTTGTAGTTTAAGACTGAACTGATGGTGTCAAAAAAGGATAGGAAAAAACAATCTATAAATGCTGGAAATGAAACAAAGTTTCCTTATTTAGTTACAGCTATCAAAAAGACATCACCAAATGTATTCTACAGGGTCTTTTGCTTAAAAGGTGATTAGATGATCCATCAATTAATAAATGCATCAACCTGGAATATAGAACTGAATATATTACACATTTTTTTGCTACCCAGAATTTCTGGCACCGGAATTAGCAAGGTAAGATTTTTAAGCAAAAAAAAAAAATCAAAAGAATGAGCAAGAGGTTTCCCAGTGCAGCACATTGGCTTGTAATATTTTGAAATAATAGTTTTAATGTACTCAGAGCCCCCATCCCCATCAACCATAACGTCCAAAGTCTTACTTATTATATTCATGCCCTTTCATCACCTTTTCAAATACTAATGAGTTTGCCAAGGTTTCTAGCTCCAGCAACCCCATTCTGTTATATTTGCCTGACTTGCCCTGGTAAGTTGTTGAATTTAGTCAATATTAATTAGTTCCAAAAATATAGATAAGAGCAAACTTAGACTTGGATGGGAGACCAACAAGAAATACCAGGTCTGTGGTTTACACTTGGGAAGTCAGAAAACTTCCCAGCAAAAGGGAATTGTAAACCTAAAGTAAACCATACTTTTGCTGAGAAAACCATGTCAATGAAATCACCAGAAGTTGATCCTGATTTACAAGAGACTGCTTTTAACATTTGGCTTCACATTTATTGAATTAAAGAATCTGAAAATACCCAAACCAGACTGTAACCTCCCTTAATTCATGATTTAGATGTCTTCTAATGACTGTTAAATAAAATGCTCCAAAGCAGACAGTTGATGTTATCCCTTTCTTCCCACATAACAGGTAATAGATTTCTATCTCCAAGAATTAATATAGATCAATAGATTAAGATTCAAATAGCTGAATCTTAATCTGTGGAGTCCTTAAATGCCCAGTTTGTAGCTGTTTCATTACCCAGCATTACTCAATGCTCTGATCAGAGTACTGATGTTATTGTTGGGTAATGAAACATCTGCAAGCAAACAACATCTGCAAGCTCAGTGAGCACTAAGGACTTCCCAATTCAACTCTGAGCTATATATATATATTCTCTTTAATTGATCTTGAATTTGAAGAAATCAAGATAAGTTTTGGGAGGAGTAAAAAAAATATAACATAATATGGGAGGTAAAAATGAAGGCTTACCTAGCAACGTATATGCCTGTTCTTTAATTCAAATATGTTACTCCTTTGAAAAAGCTAAAGAACTACATGAAACTACCAGGAACCTTCATTGCAAGCTAATGTCTGTTTAGTTGGATTTTTATTCAAAGCCAAGCTGAATAAAAGTTAGCTAACTATGGTGGAAAGGCTATTTTGGGAACTATATGCTGGAGTTTAAAAAGAAAAAGTAATTGGTCACAATAGTTCTCATCCTGCTGTAAGAATGAATGCCTAATCAGGAACCTCTTAAGAGTTTTCAAAGCATCCTGCAATTAGAGATGATGAATGGGTTGGAAAAGGACACACACACATACACACCCTCACTCACTCACTACCATTACTCTGAAGTTTTCTTTGTTGGACTTCATACCAAAGGAATAAGGTGGTAAGAATTTAGAAATGGTAGAGAATTATTGCATCACTTTGCAGGTATGAGATTACCTGCTTAATAGTCTCTGCTGAGAACGAGTAGAAAACGTTTGAGATTAACCAGTTAGACCCTTCTAGTATGCTATTCTAGATACTTCCTTGCAAAGGGGGGTGTTTTTCAGTGTGTGGAACCATTCCAAAATCCCCATGTGCAGCCAAAAGTGATTTATTGCCTGAAATACGCCCTACAACATCACCTTTTGTGGTTTGGCCAGAATGTATAGATTGGGTAGGCAGCCCTGAAATGACTAAAATAGCCGTCATCCATTTTTGCAGGCATGTTGGTTTGATTTTGTCACTTCTTAATTGATTGTTACTGGTTAACGGGCTAGTTGATCATTCTAACGCTTGTCTTTTGGATAACCTAGTTCCATTTGAGGATTAACACATTCATTTTGCTATTGGGGCACAAATTAAGCTGTCGAGAATCTTAGTCTGATTTTATTCCAGTGTTTGGCAATTCTTCAGGTGCTCTTTCCTTACAAGTGATATAGAAAGCCCTGCCAGTAAATGTCCTGGATATTGGATATCAGTACCTTACATATCTATCCAAAAATTCAACTTGCTCTTTTGAAAGCACTGTAGCCAATTTACCAGACATTTGGTCTGTGGCAATCCAAGAAAAAGATGTTCTCAGTTCAAAGTGCCTGATTATGGAATTTCCTCTCTGAAAATTTGTCATTTGTTAGCTTGAGGTGCCAACTAAAGAATGACCTTTTGGCTTTGGCTGAACCTATATTGAAGAAAGTGGCTCTTTCTAATTAAAATTGTATTTAAAACAGTTGCATTAAATCATGACAAAATATTCCACTCCAGCGAAGGTAGTTGAACTGGTCCTTCAAACAATCAAAAATCAAAGTGTGCAGGGGGTGGGTAGGTAGAAAGGAGAGGCCTTTCTTAAAAACATTTGCTCAACAAATAAAGAAGAATGTCAAGAATCAAAAGTTTCAGTTTCTGGCTAAAGTAAGCTCTTGAATATTCAGTGTGGATATTCTTGACTTTTGTGGCACTTAGTTATAATTCAAGCTGGGCAACTTAACAAATGTTGGGCCAAAATATTTTTTGCCAAAATATTTAAAACAGATGCAAGGAGACCAGTAAACAGAACGTTAAAAACATTGTAATCTATGACTTGCACTTATATTATAAAGCTTACCCCTTCTGCTCTATTTGCAAGATGTCTTGATAACTTCAGAAACAAACTGATATAGGGATCATTCTGAATATAACACCATTTCCTGATCACTTTATGGAAGAGCGAGCTAGATCAGGAATGTAGGATTGTGGTTTGCTTACTTTCATCAGAATAAGATAAAAGGCAAGCTTAAGTTATATAAGAGAATGAAATACAAGATGTTTCTTAGGATTACCTCTTGCTCCTTTAAAATGTTTGTTCTCAATACTATACACAGTTTTATTATTTGTGGACACAAACAAGCTTTGCATAGTCAATAATCTCTTAGTGGAAAATTTTCAAACAAAATTTTAACAGATAGGATCAGGACTTTTTGGGCAAAACTACTCCACAATACAGATTTACAGCATGTCTTAAGATTCTACACCCTTTTAATGCTATCCTTCATTTGTCCATTGCTAGATTTCAAAAAATGGCATAAGCTATTAAAATGTCCTGGGATGTTGGTTGCATTTTTGTTTGCAAGCTAAACATGAACATATCCAGCATTATACCATATAATCTCCCTGAGGATTTTGCTTCCCTGTGAAAATAGCCTACCTCTAACTCCCTGAAATCTGAAATGGATGTTCCTTCACTCCTCCAGCCTTTCTTGAAATGCTGAAAAGGGTTAAATTCTTGGTGAAAGTTTGGGCCAACATTTTTAAAAGTATGAATAGACACAGAATGTACCATATTCCATAGTCCTGCATTTTTCATTGGATCTCTGTAACATTTCTCTTTCATGAAGAAAAGAGAATATGAAGGCACTACTTAAGAACAGAAAGAGTTATTTTTTGCCATTTAGTTTTAAGTTTCCAGCCTTCTCTGGCTGCTATTCACTGAAAATAAAGTAACTTTAAGGAAAGTTAAATACTATAATTGGTGTACTCCACATCCCATCCTTGTATGCAGCTGCAATTACAACATTGAACAAAACTGATGTTAAAATAATGTAAAACTGGCAAAGCTTTTTTTTAAAAAAAGAACCATAAACTAACATTAAAGTACTTAAAATCTATAAGTATTGTATAATATCATTGTAAGCCATGCATTTATAATGTATGCAGAATTGAAAAAGCAAAAGGAATACGTTGATTTGGCCACTCCAGGAATAGGTTGCTTCCAGTCCAAAGTTTAATTTTTGAAAAATTGCTGGGACTTCCCCAGATTAATGTGGTAATGGGAGGGGCAGGAGGGGGAAGTGAATATATCAGTTCTCCAGTACATTATATTATTGGGGAGTATATATTGCATATACATAAAGAACTATTAATTACTAGCATTGATGATACCTAGTTTGAGTAATGAAATGTCTGCAAGAAAACAACCAAGCTCAGATAGTATCAAGGACCACCCCCAGAAGATCTATTAATTCAGCAAAAATTTCCCCTTCCCAAATCTGCCTACAGAAGCCAGACCATAACAAAAAAGAAACATGGGGGAAAGTGGTTTAAAGGTACAATTGCCTTAAAGAAAGTGACAATGATGTGATATATTGTTTCTCCCATGAATATACCTTTTCTCCCCATTGTCATTTCTAATTAGCTATACTAAAGTCTTAATAGAAGGAACACCTCAGCTTGAGGGCTAGACTAAAAGGTTGAATGAAATCCCCAAAGAAAGAAGTAATAAACAATTTAGCACAAACATCTGCACAGGAAGTCATTAGGAGTTAATCTCAAGCTCCATCTTTTCCTCAGCAAACCCTGATAATACATGTTTTCCACAGGCAATGATGCTACGGTATTCTCACATTATTTCCCACCTGCTTTGAAAACCTTGATAACAATAAATATTTCCACAATGATGTTACAGTATCTTCTCATTATTTCCCCATATGTTTTGAAAAGTAACTTTCAATTTCAATTATTTGTATTAAAGGAGGCCAGTTAATACTTTTATCACAGCAAAGTCCTAATGATAGTAATAATCTCCAACGTTCTTTTCTGTTATTAGACAGGGTTGCCAGGGATTAACTACCATCTTTAAAAAAAATTAAAAGATGGACACAACTTCTCATCTCTCAACATCCATTCCCACTGAAGCGAAAGGAAAAAGTTGTAAAAGAGCAGCATTTTGGCATTGCAAACGTGATGTGCAGTTTTTTTTCCCAATAGTCTTTTACATTTAGCTAATAGAATATCAGTAGGCCTCTTAAGTGGAAAGGTATTTGCAAAGATTTGAATGAAATTAGCTTTAATGCTGTGCCCCCTGACTTAAGTTATTTGGCCCAGATGTTTCCATTGCTGCAATTCTGTAAACTGAATGATATAGATATATGATTATGTTATATTGCTCAACTCATCTTTTCAAACTTCTTATATTTCCTCAAGGTGCTCCAGATGGAAAAGGTCACATGAATCAATAGTTATGTGTCCTTGTGCCTATTGACTCAGTAAGTGTCTTTTAAAATAGGTTTATCATTTAGGAATAATAAAGGGGACTGCTCGACCCTTGTTTAAGCATAGTACTCATCTTGACAATCTGCCAAGAGATGAAGATATGTTTCTGAGTCATGTCATGTCTGATTATTGTGTATCATGTCACGTTTGATTGCGGGTCCTGTGCAGGGACAGCTGATCAATTGACAAAATCCTCCATGCATGCTTTCAAAATTCCAGGTGGATTGGCTTGCCCCCCACCAAAAAAGGCTGGGGCACTTAGCGTTCACTGACTGGCAGTTGTATTCCACAATCTCATATCAGAATATTTATATGCCTTCCTTTTTTAATATAAAACTTCTAAACGACTCTCCCCACCCCTTATCCTCTGAAGGTCTAAGTGAGTAGCCAGAATTTTTTAATAATTTCCAAGAAGTAGCTCAGATAATTTTTGGTGTTTCTCATTATGCCCAGGTAACACTGCTGCTTTGCAAACTGTACTAGTTCCCATAGGTTTCCAGGTGTAATTCAAGGTACTGGCTGTCATCCGTAGTCCTCAATGGCATAGCACTGAGCTAATTGTGGAAATGCCTTTTTTTCCATAGAGCTGCTGCGAGTGTCCAGGATGGGAGGTGCTCCAGTCTCGGCTCCCACAGGCTGAGCTTGAAATTGAGGAACGCCTCTCACCATCACGTGGTCCTCTGGGCGCTCCCCCAGTTTTTAGCTCAGCCTCGTGGCAGTCAGGCTGTTTTTTTCTCTTGCTCCTGGTCGTTCAGCATTTTCAAAGTTTTTATTTCAAAATTGGACCCTACCTATCAGCAGCGCAGTGAGTTTGAGGTTGGAACTCCCTAGGGAGTTTTTTTCTCTTTGTAAGGGGGACCTTTTATGCCATTTTCTCCAGGGGAAAATCTAGTGCTTCAAGCGCTACCCCCCCCCCCCCCCCCCCCCCTTTGCCGCCTATTTCGCTCCGTGCGAAGCCGCTCCGCTCCTTTTTCCTGCCTTACTCTCTGACCGCCGTTTCCCCCCCGCGAACGCCCTTTAGCCCAGGGAAACGCTTCCCTGTTTCTCCCAATGGTTTTTGTGGCCTGCTGGCCTTTTGCTTTCAGTCTGGGAGATAACCGCCGCTGGGTTTGCCTCCATTAATTCGCGGCCTCCATTTTGGGCTCCCTGTGGCGTCCGCCATCTTGGGTGCGCCCAGGAGCCGCCGCCATTTTGTGTGTGGCCGCATGGCCGTCCGCCATTGCTAGAGGCCCATAACAGGCTGCGTTTCTTTTTCTTGATCACTAGGCAGATCCTCGGACTGCCTACATCTCAGCCTGTACTTCAAATACTCTGTCAGGCTCCTTTTTCAGAAAATAAGGGTCCGTTGGCTCCGCAGCCCCCCCCCCCCCAGCAAGGCGAGGTAGCAGCTCTGCCACCCCCCTCCCCCGGTCCGCCCGGCAGGGGTAGCTGCTTGGCGTTCACTTTCCGGCTGATTGGCTTCTGGGCTAGGCCCTGCTCCTCAACAAATTTTTTAAAAAATTTTTGATCAAAAGGGGGATGCGAAACGAGTGCTGGGATCCCCGGCCTCAACGTAGGCCGCATCCAGACGTGCCAACCGTCTTGTATTAATTTAAAATTCCTTTTTTTCTCTCTCTCCAGATGGCAGATGACAATGCATCTCATGGCACTTCTTTGAAGGCCAAGTCAAAATCTCATCACCTGCGCAAACAGGCACAGGAGGTATCCAAAGCCTCCCAGAGGGATGCCCTCAGGCGGCACAGGGCTCTTGAGAAGGAGATTGACAGGCGGTCCAGAGAGTCAAGCTCTGTGCCCCTGGCTCCTTCCACCCCCACTCCTTCAACCTCCATCCATCCTCCTCTCCCCTCCTCCCCTGCTCCTTCCTCTTCCTCTCAGACTAGACAGGCCCCTGAGGCCACTTTTACTCCCACTGCTGCAGGCCTGCGCCCGGAGGAGCCTCATCCACTCCCCACGGTGGAGATCCCTGAGAACCTGAAACAATGGATGGAGCTGGCCATCCGGCAAGGGATAGCGCAAGAGCTCCAGCAGATGGCCGGTCCGGCCCTACGGCCTGCGGCCCCTGTGGTTCAAGCTCCATCAGTTCGATCACTCTCCGGATCAGAGGTCTCGCACGGCCAGGTAGCATCCCCCAGGGATTTAACCTTGCCTTTGGGGATGGAGGAGATGGAGACCCAGGAGCCCGGGGGACCTGCTCTCTTTGGGGACGAGGAAGACCTCGATTTGGGGTCCATCATGGGCAGTGAGCTCCTTTCGGGAGCAGACCCACTGGAGGGGGACATGTCGGAGGACGAGGGCCTCACTCCGGACCAGCCCGCATTTGTGGGGCTGTTTAAACCGCACCTTTTTAGGTCCCTTCTATTCAAGGCCAAGAATACCTCTGGCCTGACCCCCCACCCCCGCTCCATCCAAGCCAGCGGCCTCGGGGGAGCCTCCCGACTCCATCTTTTCCCAGCCCGTGGTGGAAACTGATGTGATCCCTGTTCCACCTATCTTTTCCGATCTGGTCTCCAGGCAGCTAGCCTCCTCGGGGCCCCCTCCCCCCCCAACACTCAGGACAAGCGGTTTTTCAACCTTGACCCGCAGTTCTCCCTCTTGCTCGATCCCCTTCCTGTGGACGAGCCTATTGTAGGCCTTGCTTCCCGCTCAACTCCTAGCGATGCCCTCGAGGCACTCAAGCCCGAGGACAAACGAGCCGAGCTGGCCCTGCGCCGCGCTCACCTTTCCGACGCTTGGGCAGTCAGAGCTTCCACTGCCGCATCCTTTTTTATCAGATCCTCTATCAAGTGGCTTCAACAGCTCAAACAGCATGTTCCCGCAACCAACCTCAGAGCGCAGCAGGACATCGCTAAGCTCACGGCCGCGGCCGAGTTTTCAGCGGACGCCACCTTCCAAGCCGCAAAATTTTCTACTAGGGCCATTTCGTCCCAGGTCACCGCCCGCCGCCTGCTCTGGCTCCGCCACTGGCAAGCGGACGTCAAAAACAGGCTAAGCTAGCCTCAGCCCCCATTTCTGGGAGGAAACTTTTTGGACCGGCTCTCAATCCATTCCTGGCCGAGACCCGTGACAAACGCAAGTACCTCCCCTCTCTTTCTCGGAGGATTGACTCCAGAGGTCCCCCTCCCTCCTTTCGCCAAAGTTCCTTCCGTTCCTACTCCTTCCCCCCCAGGTACTACCAAACCCCTTCCTACAGGCTCCCTCCACCTCTCGACCGGTCGGATTCTGAGAGGTCCAGAAGAGGTTCCTCATTCAAGTAGCCCTCCCGGGAATCCGGAAGCAGGCCGTCCCGTCGTTCCTGCTAATGCAACTGCGCCATAGGCGGCTGCCCCAAGCCAAAAAAAAAAAGAAGAAGAAGAAGTAGGCCAAACCCTACCTTGCCCCCTCTTCCTGTTTCGCTTCCCTTGGTCTTTCCTCTGTTCCAGGGTGTTAACCGAGGCTTCGGCGGCCTGGCCGCCCACCTGTGATCCTTCCCTGTCCGGCTCACGGCAGCCTGGACGACATCCTCAACCTCCCCTATCCTAGGGTCCTCGCCCAGCCAGTCACTGTTCTAGCACTTGACACCCTGCAAAACCATGAGCTCATGATCCAGTGGAAGAAAGTCACCCTTATCTCCATTCGAACCCTTCACTTGGGGGCATTGATCTCACTGCCCGGGAACCGGTTTTCTCTGTCTCCGGACAGGCGGTTTACTATCCACAACTCTTAAAGGTTGAGACGGCATGAACAATTTTCCTTTTTAGACTTGCCTAAACTGTTGGGGTAGCTTATTCATATATCTGCATGATCCCTTGGGTCCCTTTCCATACCAGGTCCCTATAATGATTTCCGCTGTCGGACAACGTTCAGGAAGGAACGACTCGCAACTTCTGGTCGGAGTTCCCCTAAGAGTCCTCTTGTCCTTTCCTTGGTGGACCGGGCCGGCCATCAACAAGGGACACTACCTCAAGGAACCCGACAGGCTATCCGTCATCACGGTCGCGAGGCTACTCGGCTGGGGCGCTCTCGCCCTCCTCATCTCGTCCCAGGGCAAATGGTCGGCAACAGATCTTCCCTGCTCCATAGATTAGCTGGAGATCCTCGCTGTGCACCTGGTCTTCGCAGCTCTCTACCCCAGGTACGCGGACCTCTCGTTCTGGTCCTCACAAACATATCTCCAGACAGGAGGGCACTCAGTCAGCAAGGTTCATGAGGGAAGCCGAACGCCTCTTGCCGTTGGGCGGAACCGAATCTAGCCTCCATCAGGGCAGATCACACAAGGGTCATTGCACACCTAAGCATCTTGGTTCAGCAGGGCCACTCTGGCTCAAGCAGAAGGGACCCTCCGCCCCTCCCTTTCAAGGAGGCAGTCTCAATCTTCGGGCTCCCCACGGTGGATCTCTGCGCATCCTCTCTCAACGTCCAACCGATCTCCTCCAGATGACCCCCCCAAGGGGCGGGGAATCACAATGCCCTCCGTTGCCCTTGGGCTCCAGGGCTCTTTATCCCTCTCTCTCCCTCCCCATCATCCTTATGGTGATACACACGTTGGTTCCGGAAAAGGCAGAGATTTCCTTGTAGCCCCTCTATTGGTTCAGATGCCCTCGGTTTGCGATTTTCCACAACCCTTCGGTGGTTCCTCCTTGGAGAACCCCCCCAGGCAGGATCCCCCTGTCCCGGGGCCCTCCACTACATCCGAACCCCCCGTGGCCCCAACCGGCCGTCTGGAGGTCGAGCGGAACCGCATAAAGGCGCAGAATGTTTCCAGCCAGGTTATGGACACCATCCTGGCAGCCAGACGACCCTCTACCACCCGTATACACTACGTTACGCGGGTCGCCCTCTGTGCCCGGGCCCTCAAGTTCCATTTTAACCCTCTTCTCCCTCCATCGCTTAGATCCGGGATTCCTCAGGAGGGCCTCACAAGGGACTGGCTACCAATGCCCTAAGGCGTCAGATCGTTGCCCTCGCAGCGGTTTTCTCCTCGGTCGTTGGGGGATCCATTTCCCATCACCCCTTATCCGGGTTTTCCTCACGGGAGTTCCACCATACACCGTCTTCCGACCTGGGACCTCAGCAAGGTCCTGGTCACTCTTACCAAGTCCCCCTTGAACCCATTGGGGAGGCCTCTTTACAGTTTCTCAACCTCAAGACCGTTCTTTCTTGTGGCCGTCATCCGCTCTTCGGATCTCGGAGCTGGCAGCCCCTTCCATTAGACAGGATCTTGTGTTTTTCACTCTGATAGGGTCGTCCTCCGCCCTGACCCCACCTTCCTCCCCAATTAAATTCAGCATTTCACAGAGTTCAGGAGCTCGTACTCCCTAACTTCTGCCTCAATCCCTCGAGACAGAGGGAGAGACAGTGGCATTCCCTTGATGTAAGGCGTGCCTTGAGAGTGTGTATCAAACGCACCCAGCCTTTTCAAACGCACCCAGCCTTTCCGCAAGTCGGAGGCCTTGTTTGTGTCCTTCTAACCTGCTTCTCTTGGTCACAAGGCGACTCCCACATCCGTGGGCCGCTGGGTTAGGACTGCCATCGTCAAAGCCTACCAGGTACAGTCCATCCCCGTTCCCATGGGTACCATCACCCACTCCACTAGAAGTGCGGACCCCTCTGCCGCGTGGGCCACACAAACCATCTATAATCGACATCTGTAGGGCTGCCGCCTGGGCATCCCCATCTCCCTTCATCAAGCACATAAGATTGATGTATTTGCATCCGCCGAGGCCTCTTTTGGCAGGCGGTTTCCTTCAGCGGGTCCTCGAGGTTCCAGGAGAGGTTCCACCCCAGACGGGAGCCCGCCCACAGGACTCGCCAAGCTTTGGTATGTCCCATCCTGGACACTCGCAGCAGCTCTATGGAAAAGGGGCGTTGGTTCTTACCTGATACGCTTCTTTTCGTAGAGCTGCGTAGAGTGTCCAGCCCCACCCGTTAGTCCGTCTGGTGGGGAACCTCGCTGTTCGACCAAGCAAACTAATACTTTTTAGTTAGGATGAGAACAGGGCCTTCCTTCCTTCTCGTCTTCGCAAAACTGGGGGAGCGCCCAGAGGACCACGTGATGGTGAGAGGCGTTCCTCAATTTCAAGCTCAGCCTGTGGGAGCCGAGACTGGAGCACCTCCCATCCTGGACACTCTACGCAGCTCTACGAAAAGAAGCGTATCAGGTAAGAACCAACGCCCCCTCCCATTGTTTCTATTTAGCCCTCTAGAAACAGCAGAAAAGGCATGTTCTGGGTCTCTTCTGTCAAATAATATAATCTTGTTGGAATTCAGTTGTGTCTTCCTGTTGTATGGAATTATATCCTCCTGGAGATTTGGGTGGCCCCCAGCCCTATTAGCTTTTCATGAGGCACTGAAGACCTGCCTGTTTCTCCAGGTATTTGGGTCAAAACGTTAGGTGAGCTCTGCTGTTGTTGCTACATTTGAGGGGAGTTATTGTTTTATATTGGGGAAGGGGTTGTACACTGGGAGTTGTACAATTAATACTTGCACACCACCCAGACCATGCATCATCATTTTACCTTCTCTCCAGTATCTTTTTTTAATTAGAAAGAATGTGAGATCACATAGAACCGTATAACTTATGAACATCATATTGCAGGGAGCACTTAGAATGGGGAGCACTTGTGGCCCCCTAGATATTATTGGACTCCAACTTCTTGTCAATCCTGATTATGATGGTTCATGGTGAGAGCATGGAGTTGTAGCTCAAATGCTAGAGAACCACATATTCTCACCCTTGTACTAAACCATAGTTGGCCTTATTCCAGAAGAAAAAGAAGGAAAGGGTACAAATCCAGGTTTATCACTTGTCTGATCATGCCAAGTTAAATATCCCATATGTGATTGAAGACAGATCCCATCATTCCTTTCCAGCATTGCTAATTGGGAGTGGACATCCAGAATTTTTCAAGGACACAAAGTTGAGGAAGGGAATGATAAACTTGATTCGAATCAAGATAAAAGATAAAAGGTAAATGTTCTTCCCTTTAAAGAAAGGTACATAGTACCCTTGGCACATACCTTATTTGGTTACCCTAAAGCAATGTCACAAGCATCTCTTCTGCTTTCCTTACAGTAATGAATTATGTAACTAATAAATGATTGCCCTTTTGGGTTAGCCAATGAATTGTTTATATAATCTTCAGGTGGACCGTTGTGTCACTTGGGTGAAATGAATTTAAAATAAATATAAAGACAGAAGTTCAATGTAAATAGCAAAAAAGACCTGTGGATAAGAAATGCTGAATATTACTGGTACTACTTGACATATTTTGTTTAGCAGATGTCATTTTTGTTATCTAAGCATAGCTGAGGAGAAAAACTATGCTGGGAGAAGATTTTTTTTCTTTTTTAAATTTCACAGCACATGCTCTATTTCTTTGAGAAATCATTTTGTTCCATCCCTTATTCTCTTTTTCTGTTTAAACAGAATTGTTGCCGTCACATCTAGTTCTTTCCAAATATATCAGTCCTGCCCTGCCAGAGAGGTAAGCAAAGATTAATGTATGGATTAGGTAAATAATTTGCAGAAAACCTGGATCAATTGGGATTGTGGAACCAAGCCATAAGAATTATTCAATCCAAATATGCCCCTATTTATAAAGGTAGGCCTCAACTTACAAACATACATTAATGACTGTTCAAAGTTACAGTGGCACTGAAAAAAGTAACTTATAATTTATAACCATTGTAGCATCCCCACAGTCACATGATCAGAATTTGGGTGATTGGCAACTGGGATGTATTTAAAATGGTTGCAGTGTCCTGGGCAGGGGTCACCAATCTTTTGGACCTCAGGGACCACCAAACTTATAATTTTAATTCCGGGGACCATTAATATGAATTTTGACTGACGGTGGCTTGCTGATGTTGGTGGAAGAGAGAAAGACGGAGAGATCTAATCTAACCTCTCTCTTACACACACACACACACACACACACACACACACACACACACACAAACACACAGGCAGGGGTGGGATTCAAATTTCTTAACCAGCTCTGTGGGCATGGCCTAATTTGTGGGTGTGGCTTGTGGTCATGTGACTGGCTGGGAATAGCTTGTATGTAAATATTATAAATATGTAAATATAGAATTTTTTATTAAAAAAGAGAGCGACTTTTACCCAAAAGCAGGCAGAGCAGGCAGGCAGATTGAGTTGCTCACAGAAGCACAGACTTAGAGTTTTGTGTTTCTGCTATCGGCTAGCTGAGTCTACACTGCTTCTGTCCTAAGGAAGCTTTTAAGCAGAGCCGAAGATCTAAAGATTAGCTAAAAAGCAAAAAATCCACTGATTTCCTACTTTCTATCTAATCTAAATCTCCTGGCATAGCAGAACAGCTGATGGTTGGAAAAAGGAAAAATAGCAACTTAGCAGGCAAGTGAGTGAGTGGGCAGGGAAGGCAGGCCTTGTGTTTCTGCTCAGCCTGGATTAATTGCTTTGTGGGATGCTCTGGGGATGACATTTCTCTACGGACCACCAACATTTTCTCATGGACCACCGGTTGGTGACTGCTGTCCTAGGGTCATGTGATTGTCATTTGTTACCTCCCCAGCAACTTCTGACAAATAAAATCAAGGATTTCTGAAAAACCATGTTTCATTTAACAACTGGTAATTTGCTTAACAATCATAGCCAAAAAAATCATAAAATTGTCACTTAATCTTGCTTAACAAAAGAATTCTTGTTCCAGCTGTGATCGTAAGTCAAGGAGTACCTAAATCCAGAACAAATCAGTAACCTGGATTTTGTACTCTGTGGCAAATGGAAACTCTGCTAAGAGAAAGAAAGAATCTTACTTTCTCTTTGCAGAGTCACCAAATGGCCCTGGAAATGTAGAATTTACATTTTTCTTCTTTGCATTGACCGTTGCATATACAGTACAGTGTTGCAATCATCAGTAAAATAAAATTCCACTTGTCTGCTTTTAAGGACTTTATGACACTCTTTCATGAAACAAGCTAATTTCTATAGCTTGCTTTTTTCTTCACTGAGTCCTTTAAACAAATAACTCAACCATCCCAACTTTATAGACTTTTTACCACAATATAGAAATCTAACATGGCAGTATCTCCTAATGTGGTGGAGGAGAGAGTTCACCTGGATAAATATATGCTTATTTAGTCATAATTCAAGTTAGAGAAAGAGAATTGACTATGCATATTTCTGGACCTTTTGTTCTGTGGAAAAATCAGTGCTTCTGGAACCTTGTTCCTATCTTTTCACAGTTAAAAAAATCAACAATTCTTCTCACAGTCAAAAATCCATCAATTACTAATTACAATATTCAGTTGGATAAAAATGGATGGAAAAATCACTAGGCCAGCCTAAACTATATATAGGCCTAAAGAATTAATTGATTTTTAAAAGTTAAAAAATGAAGTTATCATATGGATGAATCTCTAGATTTGAAATCTCACTGTTGTTAAATAATCAATGATGATAAAAGATTCGGAGCAGTTGTAGAAGGAAGCATTTTCACTTGTAACTCTCCCACCCTGCCCTTTTAGTAAACTGCTAGAGAAAGGGAGAAAGCAAAGCTGAAGATGCCTGGAAGACACCAGGATCAAGACTATATTTAAAGTTAAGCATTTAAGAGCCATGGACCATGTGATGCATAAGATCTGATTGTAACCCATTAGTCACAGAAGCAAATAGAAACTGTTCTTGAAAGAAAAAAAAAGGTAGGAGAATCTCCCAGGGAGAACAGGAGAAGAATGTATGTAATGCACATGCTAATAAATAAAGTAACCTGCAGTTTTATTGCATATTAACTGAGATAAGTGCTAATTTTCATTTATAAGACTATTGTAGGGATTTCAAGGAGAAACATTTGAATAGTACAAAAGAGCCCTGGCCCTTGGTTGAATTCCTAATATCCTAAGCATCTGTCTCTTGCTTTAGTAATGGACAAATATGATCACAGGTTGTTTATCTAATGAGTATACGACACGTAGCACATTAGTCACTGTCTCTGCCTCTCAAAAGTTAAATCTCAGTGGGATGTTAAATGTGCTTTGACTCTAAAATTGCCAGTGTATCAGGTTAAGTTCCTTTCTTTTTAAAAAAATAAACTTTATTAGTCTATTATGTCTTTTAAAAACAAAAAGATTAAGTTCCTTTCATAACCATCTATCCAAATAGCTCTTTTATACCAACTGCATGCCATTAAATCATTTTTTATTCTTAGCAAATACGTTTTTTCTCCATAAACTTTTGCACCTATTTGCTGGTAAATACAAATCTCATTGTAAGATTATGCTTTGTAAAACACTTTAGGGATAAAACAGTGCTCAGCTTAACTTGGTATGCTTGCAAATATTTTGTCCTTTTTTATAGTCCTTGTGTATTTACTTTGTCAAATAGTTGGCACAATCAGGGCCAAATTGAAACAATATGGAGACGTGAAAGTCCTTGTTTATAACAAGTTCTGCATTCTTCATGTTCATTCAGTTAGAGTATTGAAGCAAATTGCAATGGCAAGGGGTAACAGTTTGATCACAACAGATGCAAAGTATTAAAGTTTCCCTTCCACTTCAAAGTCTTATGTCAGGGTTACTATTGGCCCTGCCTGGTGTGAGATGTTAATAATTCAGCATTTACTTCAGCCTCCAAGCAACCTGCTTCGGAAGCCAATGCAAAGCATAGTGTTGAACTAATCAATACAGAGAAACTGATGAAGTAACATAGAATGCACATGCGAACTTGCTAAAGCAATTTTTACTGGAGCACAGGAGTTCCAAATAAATAGTGATTGCATAAGATGTGACCCTTTTTCCTGCCACAGAATGTTTAAAGCATTTTACTTCTATTCTTGTTGAATTGTATCCAGCTTTGCTTAATCTTGATTTCTGCAGTGGTCTCACTGCACATCTAGAAAACAGCCTTCATGATGTTACAGTTTTCTTCTGTGTATCAAAACCTGTGTATCCTCCAGTTACTGGAAATCATACTGTTTTGTTTGAGCAATGAGAGGCTGAACCAGAGCATGAGTGCAACAATACTTTATTTTACAATAAAGGGCTGACCGTGCTTGCCAAGCCTGGAACTGGCTCGCAGCAATCAGCAACCGGTTGGACCCCGCAGCCTGCTTTTATAGCTGGCTGCTGGGGAGAGCCAACCAATGGGAATGGGGGGAATAACGCCCACGTAAAGTGAGTGGACCTGAGTGAGAACTCCTTGAGTCCTCAGGACATAACACCCCTTCCCCCCAGATGCGAACATGCATAGTCCTTGAGGTAGACGGGGGGTTTGTGTTGGCGCCCGGAACGGCGCAACTCGGGAACATTGTCTGTCTGTTCGGTACCAGTCTGTGATGGTCGAGCCGGCATAGTGTCGCCAACACTCTCCCTGGACTGGGCATCCTCGGGAACCACCGGGTTGGTTACTGGGGTCGAGCTCTCGTGGGTTGGATCAGGCTGGTCAACTCTCTGGGCGCTGTTGTCCGAGTTTGGGCTGACCGGAACGACCGCTGGTGCAGACTGGTCGCTGGGTACGATGTGGCTGGGCGGCGGATGAGGCGGTTCCCCTTCGACTGGAGACTCTGGATTCTTGTTGGCAAGGGTGCTGAGGCGCCTTCTAAGCTGGTCTATATGTCTCCTCCAGACGCGACCATCCTCCAGCCTGACTCTATACGATCTCGGCCCGGTGATGGCGATGACCTCGCCTGGAATCCAAAGTGGGTCCCCAGCGAAATTCCTTGCGAATATCGGTTCCTGTAACAAAAAATGTCTAACCCCCGACGTAGAAGCGAGGGGAGAGTCAGGGCAATATTGTGGGTGCAATCTGTCCAATACAGTCCTCAGGCGCCGGCCCATCAGAAGTTCCGCTGGGGACTTATTGGTGACTGCACAGGGGGTTGAGTGCTGGCTCATCAGGAACCGTGCGAGTTTGTGGTGCCAGTCATCCCTGCCAAACCTAGCGAGGGCCTCTTTGGTGGTCCTGACGGCCCTTTCAGCCAACCCATTACTGGCAGGGTGAAATGGGGCTGTGAAAATGTGGCGAATGCCCAGGTTGGCAGCAAAACGGCTGAATTCTACTGATGCGAACTGTGGGCCATTATCGGAGACAATGGAGTCGGGTAGTCCATGTGTAACGAACAGGCGCGTTAACACGTTGGTGATTGCTAGTGTGGTGGTCGTGGATAGCTGTGCCACGTCTATCCATTTGGAATAAGCGTCCACGACCACTAGGAACATCTTTCCATGCACGGGGCCTGCCAGATCGATATGGATTCTAGACCAAGGGGCGTTGGCGCTCTCCCATCTGGTAGGGGTGGCGATGGGGGGAGCAGGACGGGATTCCTGGCAAATGCTGCAGGAACTTACCCAATTGACAATGTCCTCGTCTAGACCCGGCCACCACACGTAGCTGCGTGCTAATGCCTTCATTCTCACAATGCCGGGGTGTCCCTCGTGCAATGCCTCCAGGACTCGGGTACGCAGCGAGGTCGGAATGACCACTCGGGTGCCCCACAGTAGACAACCC